TAATGAAAATTCTCTTCCAGTACAATCAAATGAAAAATGGCACCCACTGAAAAGTAGCACCCTGATATGTTACAAGACTAAGGACTTCACAGCAAAAATAACCTGCAAAAAAATATGCCTGAAAATGTACTTGACATCACTAGTAAAACTGTCAGAGTCCTTAGATAAGAAAGAAGTAGTTTTTCTATGTACTGGTTTTGGATGCCAACAGCCAACTACAAACTTCTTTTCAACCTCCTGGCAACTATTCATTCTTGGGGTATTTGCATGTTGTTTACCTTTAAGGTCATAAAACGGTGTATTTAATTTAGCAATGTATTTCCCCAAAATTAGCCTACTCCTCAGCATTTTAAGGAGACAACAAAGTAAGGTTTTATTGTATTTTCTAGAATAGTTATGTCTTTGAGGAACTGAATATGCAGATGTGTGAAGTACTGATTTGAGAAGCGATTAGGAGATGTGAAGATAATGTTCCCTCTCTGGCTTCACCCTGGACTCATTATCAGGCTGTGGATAGAAATATTTTAATACAGGAACTCAGTTTTCCCATCTAAAAAATGAAGGAGCTAGATGGGTGAAGTGGACATCTGCTGTCTGCTCAGGATACATAGTTTCTTGTTTTTGTGATGGCTTCTTGAATTTTCAGAATGTAAGTTCCCACTCTCATAGTCACAGCTAGACTGTAAGGGGAGGTGTTCAGCCCTCTTGAGGCAAAGAGCTAGGATGGTGAAGCAATCTAATTCGACTGTGTTACCCCACAAGTTGAATCTTCAAGGGAGTGATACAGAGAAAATTCTTGATGTCAATTCATGCAAGAAGAAAAAGAATGGTGATTAAGGCTGGTCTTTGATTCTCTAAACTACTTTCCACTTTTCTTTTCAGAAGTCTGGCTTTTCTACTTTCTATTGTTTCTTTGCACCTAATCATTTCCTTCCAGATAAATCCCTTTCCCTTCCCTTCCCTCTCTTTCTCCTTGTCTCCCTTTTCTCATTAATTCAGACAGAATTCATTTTCCATGCCTGTAAACAACTTGAAATTTCCAACTAATACAAAGAGGTCACTTATTAAAGGATTAACCGAAGATTTATTTCCAGTTACTTTAACACTAAGTTTACCTAACAACAATTCTGGCAGGTGATTTTTTATTAAAAGCAGAATTCTATATTTTTTTGCTATCAATGATTTTGTCCACCCTAGTCTCCTATGACTCCCTAATAGAACGTTAGGGAGTTTTATACAATTCTCATGAGCTCCCTCTCCCAAAACATGTCTTCTCTGAGAGACAGCCAGACAGCCAGAGCTACCCCCCCCCCCCTCAAGAAATTCCATAGCAGTTAACTCAGGGAAGGAAAAGAAACCTTAGATTGTGGAGCTTGGCTGTGGGTGTGCATTGGCATGCTAATGTGTTGGCATGGATTAGGATCATCCCACAGAACCTCTCAGGGGATTAGAAGGGTCTGAGTTTTAGGAAGGCCCTGTATTTAGGGCCTCAACTCACATTGCTTCTTTGCAAGAATCCTGGTTGGAGGTGGAACAGAGTCTGACAGCTTGCCTTGGGGGCCACAAGCAAGAGAGACAGGAACTGCATCTGAACCTGCTGCTCCACCCTAGTATTGAACATAGCCAAGAAGGAGCTCCACCATTTGGAAATACACTGAAGGTACGACTGTACAGCTGGGCACAGTTACTGCCAACAGGGCTCCAGGTGTGACTTGGGGGTGAGGTGTAAAGAGTGAAGAAACCCAGCTACCCCCTTATAAGTGCAGCTAAGGTCAATGACTGTATCTCCTTTTACATCTGGTAACCATCTATGGGTGACAGATGTGTTTTTTTCCATACATTTAAGCTAGCTGCATAGCACTTGCTTTACAAATATATCACATTCTACAAATAAGGGCATCATTTTTATTTTAAAACATTTCATAGAAAGAAATTTAATTATATTTTAAAACATTCAGTTTATCATAAGAAATTTAAATGTTACTGTTGTCAATGAAAGCAGACCTGTGTAGTTTCATGGGTTGTTGTATTTTTAATGACTGTAAAGCAACAATGTCAGATTTTATCACCTACTTGTGCAGTCTCTCTCCAATGGTGACTACCAAGAATGTAAAGAAATTAAAATGAAAAATTCTGTGAGAAAATGTATGTAGCCATTCTCTGTAGGAAACTATATTCATGGAATTAAGATTAAGTTTTTTATTTAGAAATCAAGTAGATTCTATTTGAAAGTATTATATTTAATATATTTTCCTAAAATGTGGTTTGTTTCATGCTTACATGTTATTAAAATGTATTTAACTGTTTTCTACCAAGTTCTGCTTAGCTGACCCTAATTCTCTTTCAACTTACCCTAATGTGCTATATTATACACTACTTTGTGTATGAAAGCATTAAGAAATTCATGCACATAAATCAGCAATTCCTTTTCCTCCATTGTCACCTTATGAAAATAGTTCTCTATATTTACCACTATCTTACTGGGAAATAACAAGAATCGACTCATTAAAATATAAAATGGTCCCATCCACCTGTCTAAAAAATCTTGTTACCTTCTTTGATTTATTTGTGACCTTGCCTCCCTCTTTGTTATGTCTCCGTTTCTTTGTGTTTTTTTTTTTTTTAATTTTCAATAAATTTTTCTCTTTGATGATTTTCTCTTCCATATCTCCATGGGCATCCATTTATACTTGGTTTCCTACAAAAGTCCAAGCTCCAAGCTTCCAGTCTCGTTCACTGCACAACACCCCTCTGCTCCACTAGGTACTTCTATCTCAGCTACCCAGCATTGAGCTTTATTTTCCCCTTCTAGACAGTGTCCTCTCCTCTGAGAAATATGTTGAAGCCATACGCAGGCCAAGTTTATTTTGTTTCTGTGCTTTCTATCATGCCATTCACTTTTGGAATGTAGTTATATCTCACATTTCTGAATTTCATGCTTGCTACTCAGATGTCAGAGACCTTGCCCTCTCTCTTTTTCTCTCTCTCAGAACACAAGTAATCTTTATTATGCACTACACAATATATTATGAACTGTTTTTTTTTCTATTTGATATTTTCTTTTTTTATTGTTGGTTGTTCAAAACATTACATAGTTCTTGACATATCATATTTGACACTTTGATTCAAGTGAGTTATGAACTCCCATTTTTACCCCGTATACAGATTGCAGAATCACATGGGTTAGGAAATGAATTGGAGAAATGACAAAGTCATCTTTCCTCTGTCCATCCCCTCCTTTCTATTTCCACTCCATTTCACCATTTTGTTTAATTCATCATTATATCTATGACATTATAATAGCCTCCTGGCTAATTTTCCTGACTTCAAATATTTCTTTTCTGACCAAGTCTATAATTTTGTGCCAGGAAAATTCTCCTAAAGCACAATTTCAATCATACCACTCCTTCACTTAAAAATACTTGTGGCTGGCTCTCCATTGCCTAGAAAATTATATTTAAAAACTTTAGACTGATGTAAGGTCTTCCACAGTCTGACACCCACCAATCTTTCCATCTCACCTCCCATTCTTTCCTCTAAAGACACTAACTACAGACATCACTGGGTACATGGTATTACATAAACCATTTTCTCCTGCATTATAGCCTTTTATGTGCTCTTCATTTTTCCATTCTTCAATTTTCAAATCAAAAGCAGTCCCCTTATGAAGTTTCCTTGATCTTTCCCAGCTCTGTGATCCTTTAGGATTTCCTGTGGAAACTTTTTGGAGATCACATTATATTCTGCCCTGATTATCTTATTTTTCCCCAAATGTACTTTGCTCCTTGGAAGTATGATCCATGTCCAACTCATTTTTTTTCTTTTTAATACTTAGCATAGTATTTTGGACATATCAAAACTTCAGTGAATCTATATTGAGTAAATAAATTTCATAATTTCTACTCTTCCTTCTATAGTGGTCAGTAGAGCACTAGAACAATGTAAAGCTTCTGAATGAATCATTGTCAATTAATGTAGCATTTTATAATTTGTGATTCTGTTGGGATGAGCATGCTCTTTCTCTCTCTCATTTTCTCCCACAACAATTTGAGAACACTGTCAAGTCTCACAAGAAGTGTGAAAGGAGTCTGACATGTACAAATGAGAACCTATATTAATTAGCTCAGAGTGCCTCCTGCTCTCTCAAAGCTTCAGTAATTATCCCTTGGTTGCATAGCTAGAGGTTGTATTAGAAATAGTCCTACATGAGAACTTTCAACATGTCTCTGAAGCTACTGAGAAAAGTGCTTTCAAGAAAATACATGTTAGTCCTCCCTTTTTTTTCTTTTCCCAGAACCTAGCCACCCATATCCTCTCTTAAATATTTTTTTTTCCCAAATTCTCCTAAATTCTACAGAAGATTCACTTTCCCTTTGCACTTTTCCAGGGTTGTCTTCATGCTATGAAAGCTCCAAATGTTTTCTATAACACGCATGTTAGTTGTCTGCCTTTTCTATATGTGTGTCTTGAATACATCTTCCTAGCTGTTCTGTATCCCTTAAGTGGTTGTCCTTCTCTGTAGACAGGGAGTTATAATTTATTTGTCAGAGTAAACTACAATTTCCCTGTATGCTTCCTTGACTGCCATGCTGATAATCATTATTATCACAACCAGTTCTAAGAAAAATCAAGGCCAGCTGATTTTAGAAGGAATTAATACAAGGAAGCATCATCATGGATTGAAAAGCAACATATGATGATGAAACTCAGGGGTTCCTAACCTTTGCTGACATTCGTACCACTTATGTTCATGCAGTATATTCTGTAAGGCCTTATGGAAAGAGCTGAAGCAAGATTGCTCCTAGTATGAAAGTACTGTTAGGGTTTATTTCAATTTCACAAAAATATATAGAAAACATGAAATTATACACCTAAAATTTCTTATGTCTAATACACACACACACTCATTAATATTTGAAAAATAGCTATTTTCATGCTGGAGTTGATTTGATTGACGAAACTTATGTAAATATGATTTTGTACAGGTATGGAGTCACAAATGGCAGAGGAGCTCTGGCCTTCTCTTTGCAAATGTGGAGATGGTGCTCATTTAAACTCTCAGATTCATTGACTCATCTGCCATGTAGAATTGTGTACTATTAATATATAATTCAATGAGATATACTCTTACAAATTTTTTATGAATTGAGAGAGGACTTCTTCTCCAAATACAAGGTAATATGTGATTCTGGGACGTGGGGACATTGTCATATTTCACAATGCTAATCATGGGTGAGCACAGAACTGAAGTGAGGTCAACATACAGTTCCCTATATCCTCTGGCCTTGGAGATCTATTCGGAGATGGTCATAAAACCAACAGGAGCCTAGCAGAGTACCCTCCCAGGAGTTTCATAACTAGAGCCAGTGGTACAGGGAAGAGTGCCCTTCTCTAAGGTCATGTTTCCTCAGTCACATGAAGAAAGTCTCAAGTAGTAGATAAGCATGGAAGGGACATTAATAGAGAAGAAGAGACACCTCAGGGTTTTTAGTCCCTGAGTCAGCCACCCAGGAGAGCTCCAATGTCACCCCTCTGAGGTTCAGCCATGTAAGTCAGTAGCCATCTCTTTCCCTAACAATATTTACCTCAATTATTTTTCTTTAAGTTCCTATTACTTTTAGTCAAAAATTTCTTTGTAATATACATTCTATAAAGTTCACTGAGTGTATATAGTTGAACAAATGATTTTGTATGAGTATTTTAAAGTATGAGGTGTTAGCAATCAGTGTCTAATTGATTTCAAGCTACACTCAATCCTGAAATGTGTCATAATAGACTACAAATCACACCTTAAGGCAAATTATGCATCAGTGCATCATTTGGTGCCACCCACAGCTTTCAGGCAGGTAATAACAAGGATGTGCATCAACCCCTCTTAAATAGTGATGTGGAGCTTCACTAATTGCAGGCATGCACAACTTGTCCATGTGCACAACTCACTGAATGGTGAATTGGCAAGTTCTGTAGTGGGCCTGCATTTACAAGGGGATGCCAGAGGAAAGGTAAGTAGAACATAAGCAGCTTAAAGGAGTCAAAATGTGAAGTGTTGGCATACTTTGCATTTTGAAAAAATCGAGTTTCTCTTTAACTTAGAATGTCTAACCCTTTCAGAAAGGGCTTCTTGCTTCCCAAGAAAATGATCTCACATTTCTGGGTGAGATTCCTATATAAGTCTACATTTTAATTTTATGAAGAAAAACTGCAGTGTCATTCCACAGGCCAAAAGAGAAGCCATCTTGAAGCAGGTCTTTGCTTTGGAAAGAATTGACCTAGGTGAAACTAAGTTAAATAGGAAACCCATCATCCTTAGGGAAGGGTGTCAGGCAACTTTCTGTCCCAGGAAGATGCTTCTCTGTTTCCTTTATATGCTAAGAGATAAATCTGTTTTATATAAAGTTAAAATTGTTATGTTAGAAAGACATTCTTACATTTTTATTTTACTGGTTAAAAATTAAAGGTCTAAAAGATGGCCCTAAACAAGAAGTTTTTGACAGGAGACAAAAGACTTACCAGAAGGACTTATCAGAAGTTTGCTGAATTTGGTGATCTCAGTCCAAAACCAAAGAGACTGGGAGTTGTTTACGAAAGGCTGGTTCTGGAGAAATTTATAACAATGATTGAAGCCTCACTGGATTGGCTCCCCTAGCATGGTATGTTTTGAGGAACAATAATGAGCTTTAGAACATGAAATGAGAGACCTCTAAGCTGATGGTATTAGAAGAGGTGTTGCAGCAGCCCTCACACCATTAGAGAGAATCCCAGCAATTTGGGCTAAGTTGCACTGGACTGTGGAAGACTAGGGTGAGGCATCAATGGAACAAAAATTCCACAGGAAAAATGCTTTTCCATTCTCTTCCTTCTGGCATTAGAAATGAACTGAACCCTTTGTACAACAAGTAAGTCTTTAGAGATCCTGGATCCTTGAAGAGCAGGGGTTACCATATGACCAAAATCAGCTTACATGTATTAGTTATGCTATTTGCATTTTGGAAACACAAATGCACCCATTCTTTTTTGCATGCATTAAGATTGCATTGGCAGTGACAGAGTTGAGTAACTATGACAGAGATCATGTGGTTCACAAAACCCCAAAATTTTACTCTCGGGTCCTCTACAAAAAATTTGCTGATTTCTGATGTTTAATAGCTTCCACCATTTCTTTCTAGTGAGACTGAATTTTAGTCCTTAAGTTTACTCTGAGCCTAAGTAGTTGTTCTTATTGCCCCCAAAATGAATCATGACTTTCCCCTCATATTTCATTTTTCACTAAGCTCTCCTGACTGAGCTCTTGAAGAAAATTCTACCCTACCACAATATCTAGGGAGTGTCTCTTTACTGTAACAGTCTATGAATATGAACATTTAATAAAATGAATTTTTGACATCACTACAGACACACATGACTAACATGAATGCAAAATAAAACCAAAAGTTTATTTTTATAAAAAACTGACAGAAATTAAAAATATCCTCTAATATATTATAATAGAGAATAGAGTAATATTTTAATATGACATTTAAGTTTCAGGCATTCATTTGCCTTTGCAAATATCATTCAAAGAAAATCTTAAATTTCTAAATGTCATAAAATGGCAAAAGGCACATTATACAAATATCTCCAACTTGTTCAATCTGTGCTGAGTTCTTTGAGAGTTTTTTAAAATGGCATGATAATCAGATTAAATTAACCAATATTTCAGGGAAAGCAGATGGCCCCTTGGTCTTAATGTCATTTAAACACTGAAACCACCTGCTGAAAGAAATATGATTAGAATTAATGGAAATAATGTTGCTTTCTATCATTGACCAGTTATTCATTGCCATTATAGCATGACATAATTTTTAAAAGTATATATTCTGAATATATACACTCACACATACAAGCATATTGATACACAATGTTTGTACATTGAAAGGTAGCTACATTCTGTATGTCTATCTATACTCAATGAAATTTGGGGAAAAATAAAAAAAATTAATAATTCAACAAATATTTATTGAGAGATACTATAGTCTGAATATAGTCTGAGTGTCCCCCAGTGCTTCATGTGTTAAAATTTAATCCCCATTTGTAAGCTACTCAGAATTATAATACCCATTGAGAGTAGAAAATGAATCCGACTATGGTGTTTAAAGTTGGGGTCTTTAGGAAGTGCTAAGAATTAGATAAGGTTATTGGGTGAAGTTCAAATAAGTCCTGGTGACTTTATAAGAAAAGGTAGAGAGATAAGATAGCCACACAAAAAACTGAATGCTCCCCATCTCTCTCCCTGTGGTCACTTTTAGAAATATATTCAATACATCAAAATACCATTATTTTATACTTACCTTCATCTACTAATAATGTAAATGAAAAACAGAGACTTCCCATAATGGCAATTTAGATGACACACAATAACATGCTTGATAAGAACAGCAAAAAATATTAGAAATGATGCAGAAAATGTCCTCTAAATAGCATGGAACATCCACCAAGTTAGTGAGGACTTATGAGACTTAGACTAGTGAGAGCACAGCATCACAAAGGGGTGAACTGGAAATAGACACCAGAGACATAAGCCCAGGAGAGGAAGGAACTCACCTGAATGGGACTATAATACCTGGGGGGGTAGGGGAGCACTCACTGAAAGGTAGCTTAACTTTGGGGTTGATTTTTTGAGGTGGAGATATTGAACCTGAGCTCAGTAAATGACAAAGGTAGGAACTAGCACAAGTACCCTTGCTTGGAACAAACATCGCAGAAGCTGATTCTGGAAGGATGATATTAATATTACTTGGAGGATCATTGTAGGCAGCTCAGAGAATCTCCAAATCCTCATCCTATGCTACAAATGCCCAGAGTTAACTGGAAGCAAAAAATGAACTCCTTCCTGAGGAAGATAATAGCACACTAAGCCAAAAAATTCTCTAAAGATATTTTCAAATAAAATTAGCCAGCAAATAATTTAAAATTGCAAGGTGTATATTGAGTTAAGTATAAATGATCCAGAATTAGCAGAAGTAATTGAGAGTAACAGATCCAAAAGAATTACAGATATTTGAAACTGGGACAAAACATTGTATTCATGGAGAAAAGTTAAACTTTAGGTTTTATTGTTGTTTATTCTTTTATATCTTGTGAGGGAGTTAGGCTTGCAGATTTTAAGAGAAACTGGTGTATAATTAAAAATTTACATGAATAGATTTAGTAGCAGATTAAACTGATGAAAATATGAAGATGAAAACAGAAACATGATAAAAAGTAATGTATTAGTCAAGAAGAGGTTAAATAGATCTAGGGAATTTTAAGTTCTCTGTATTTATGATGGAGGTCATAAAGAGGAAAAAAATTAGCAGGTAGAAAAAATGAAGGGCAAGAAAGAGAAAAAAATGGAAAATGTAAATATATGTAATATATGATACGCACACTGAATACAATATGTAATTGTATGTATATATAATTTTAAGACTTTAAATTTACTGTTATTTAATTAAAATATGAAGACTAACATATAAGTTTTATAAATTAATTATTTTCTATTTAGAGGAGATCTTGAAAATGCAAAAATGTAAAGAAAGGCGAGAGTAGCCATACAAAAACTTAGCCAAAAGAAATTGATGTGGATATATTAATTACAATGCTATAAAAATGTACAGTTCCTTGGAATTAACCTAAAGTTTTGCAAGACTTCTACAGTAAAAGCTAAAACACTTTAATGAGGTAAAATGAAGGCTTTAATATTAGGAGAATAATACCATGTTTATCAATTAGAACAATCAAAACCACAAAATGATTAATCCTTCTGGACTCATGTATAAATTCAAAGTATTCTCAAAAGAAATCCCAAAATGTTTCTTGGAAAAACTTGACAATGATTTCTAAAATCTGTATGAAAATTTTACAAAGGCCAAGAATTTAGCCTTTGTTAAAAAACAATTTGTTGATTAGACTTGATAGTCATTTGTTTCCTCAATCTCTTAGACAGATGCCAAAAAGATATTGTGAAGATATAACAAATGACTTTAGACTGGGTCTTATTTATCCATTTAGATGTGCTTTGTATACCAAGTAAAATTTATATGCTGTAAGTGTGAAAGTAACTATAAAATTGTAAGTTATTTATATTTGAAGTCTTCCATTAACTACAAATAAAAACATACACATTTATGCCAAATCTGTTTCAAATGCCAAAGTAC